GATGGGGTGGTTTTAGATGGGAAGATGTGCGTGAACTGATGCATAGGTAGCAAAGGGAACAGCACCAGGATAACAGGCTGTGTGGAGACAGTGGTACAAAGGTGACTTTGAAAGACCTGGGAGTTCTGGTCCCTGCAGTGATCTGCCACTATTCCAGAGGACTCATCAAACATGCCCCTGCCTCCCCCCTTCTGATCGAGGCAAAGGACTAGTCCAGAATGAACCTTTTGGAGGTGGCCAGCGTGGAAGTGGGCTTTATGTGATTATACAGGTGGAAAACAAGGCCTTGATTTTTCCTTTCCTTTTTTTTTTTTTTCAGCTAAGCAATGGGGTTAAGTGACTTGCCCAGGGTCACGCAGCTGGTGAGTGTTGTGTCTGAGGTCACATTTGAACTCAGGTCCTCCTGACTCCAGGGCTGCTGCTCTGTCCACTGCGCCACCTAGCTGCCCCTTTCCTTTCCTTTTCAATGAGGATGGGGGTGAGAGTAAAGAAAAGAAGGAGGATTGTTTTGTAAGGGAAAAAATCTAGGGGCAACTAGTTGGTTGGCACAGTGAATAGAGCATGAGCCCTCAAGTCAGGAGGACCTGAGTTCAAATCCAGACTCAGACACTTAACACTTAACTAGCTGTATGACCCTGTGCAAGTCACTAACCCCTATTGCCTCACCAAAAAAGCAAAACAAAAAAACCCCCAAAACCTATTTATTATCCATGGGACAGTGTTTTTTCCCTCCCCATCTTTCTCAAGGCTTTAGAGAGGGTCATTTGATTTTGTCGCTACAATTGGGAGCCAAGAATTAGACAGACTGAGAAAAGGCAGCTTCAGAACCACACAATACTCTACCCCCTGAAGCCCAGCCATGAGCTATTTCACAGGGGACCCTCCTGGAGACTTCATGAAAAGAGAATTTCCATTCATCCAGCAGCTTTGAATGACCCATTGGCCATGTGAGGTCTAAGCATGGACCCTCTTTCCCCTGGACTCTTTTTTATTTTAGTATTTAGATGATTTATTGAATTTTATACCTTTTATCGAGATGTTTAGACATAAGAATGCCAGAGAGCACATGGAAAATAACAGTGATAAAACAATCTAATAGTTATGACAAAGAGTAATAATAGCCTAGATCTAAAAAATGAGAATGTATATAATATTTAAAAATTTTTTAAATTAATTTTAGTTTTCAATATTCACTTCCATAAGATTTTAACTTTTAAATCCTTTTCCCTCCCCTCTCCCCTCCCAAGATGGCAAAAAAAGAGAGAAAGTTTTAAAGTTTTGCATTCTAAATTCTATTCTTCCCTTTTTTTGCTACTCCGTGATATAGTAATTCGATTTAAGTTATACATGTGCAATTATGTAAAAACATTTCTATTTTAGTTATTTTGTATGAGATGAACAAAAAAAAATGAAAGAAAAAGTGAAAAATAGCGCGATCCAGTCTGTATTCAAAGAATTTTGGTTTTTCCTCTAGAGATGTGCTCTTCATCATTAATCTTTTGGGATTGTCTTTGGTCATTGTGTTGCTCAGAAGAGCTAATTCAGTCACAGTTCTTCATTACACAAGATTGCTATTACCGTGTACAACATTCTCCTTGTTCTGTTAACTTCCCTATGCATCAGTTCATGTAATTATTTCCCAGTTTTTCTGAATTCATCTTGTTTATCATTTCTTATGGCACAGTAATATTCCAACACAACCATATATCACAGCTTGTTTAGCCATTCCCTGATTGATGGGCATCCCTTTGATTTCCAATTCGTAGCCATCACAAGAAAAAAATTTTGTACTAATAGGTTCTTTTCCATTTGTTTGGATGTTTTGGGATATAGACCTATCAGTGGTGTTGTTGGATCAAAGGGTATAAAGAGTGTTGTATTCATTTGGATGTAGAAATAAATTGTTTAGGAAAAATTCCTTATGTGACAAGAATTGGCAGAAAAATTAGAATTTGTGACCTGAAAGTTCAGTATTCTCATGTAGATAATTAGAATAAAACCAGATAAAGAAGCACTTTTCATAACTATGATTTGAGATAAATTTTTAATGAAAGTAGGAATTTAAGTGATTGTAAAAGATTAAATGTTATTTACATCGCAAAGAATTAAAAAGGGCTTATATGTATAAAAGTCATGCAAAAAGATGGTATGTGGTGAAAAATGTTTGAATCAAAAAATTCTTTTTTTTGTTGTAAAAATAATTTGGAGGCATGAATAAATTTTTTATAACGTCATGGATTTGCAATCTTATTCCATGGCACTTGGTTGGGGAGTGAATAAATGGTTTTATTGCAGAGATGTATGGGAATTTATTTGAGTTGATTTATAGTGAATGAGGAGAAATTGGTAGATAAGTTTATATAATAAGATGGCAGCAAACTTTTCTAAATGTTGTAGGCGTTTACTCGTAGTTAGAAGTATGTGATGGGGTTACAAAATTGTGAAAGGATTGAATAGTGATGTCAGAGGAGGTGGTAGCAATAAGGTTGAGGGATGAGGAATGAGTATCTGAGGAGTTGGTAGTTAAATTAGACACTTGAGTATTTACTTATTGTATGTTTTTTTTAGAATTGAAGTTACACTTTATATTGTTTTGAATGTTTGTCTGCTAGTGGTAGGTACAGTGATTTAAGAAATACTTGAGCATTCATTATAAAATTTAGTTTTTTTGATACATCTTGTATTTTTTAGAGGTGTCTTAGATCCTTGTTTCATAAATGGCATAATAATGTATGTTAACACATATATGTAAAACACGTATATATCTGTAGTCGAACATAAGATGCTTTTGAGGAAAGGGCATATAAGAATGAAGTCTAAGTATATAAGTGTTTGGAGTTTATATAGATTTTTTGAGCTTATGCAGTTAATGACAAAAGTAATATTAAGTGATCTTTGAACGTTTATATTTGAGTTAACTGACAGAGTAAATGAGGGGCCTTTCATTTCAAAATAATCGTGGATAATTTGGTATTTGCATGCATCTGTTGGGATGTTGAATTTACTAAAAGGTTGGAACGAAGAATGCAACACTGTTTAGAATAGTAAAGTGGTGGTTTTGTAAGGTTTTGACAGTTAATTGTTTTTATTATTGGATTCTTTGATGATGAGCAAGTATTTATTACTGTTTAATTGGAATTGCTTCAAAAATTTAAAGTGGGTAAAGCAGTCCTCACTAACTTTGGTGGAGATCACTTTTTCTTTTGAAATCCGTCGTAACATGCACATTTCAAATAATATTTCAGTGGTCCAATAAGAAAGTCAAAAAGGCTACATTTTTCGAAAGGGAGGAAGGAGGCGTGGAAACTTTGGGACGGTTAGCATGTCAAGCCCCTTCCCTGACTACTTTAGGATGAATCAGCAGTCCCTGCTGGCAAGTCTAGAGTCAGTCCATAGAGTTGGATTGAGAACCTACAGGAGCTAATCATTGGGGATTGAAAATAAAGCAAAAGGCAGTCCCTGCTGTGACACCCATGGTACTTGACTGAGGAACCAGGAAGATGGTGGCCATTAGGAAGTTACAGTTCTCTAAAGAGGGAAGGATCGAGGAGCAAAGGAAAACCCACCCTCCGGTAATTTGTCTTTTGGGAGCCAGGTAACTCCTTCCCTGGAGACAGTTGGGGTGGCTTGTTCTCTGAAGCTCAGTGGCATAGAAAATAATTTTTTCCTGAAAAAACAAACAAACTCTTGTTACATTGGTAGCAGTGATGACATTGGGCTTTGGGTAGGGCATAGCAGTGGGGAGTGGACCACAGGTTAAACCAGGGTGCAGATTATAAGCTTGTAGAATGTTTTAAGAAGTTGTTCAGTGACTTCAGTCATGTCTGACTCTTGAGTGAAAACTGAGTAACTCAAGACACCTGAGAGAAAAGAAAAGATTTAGAAATTCTGGGGACTCTCAAGAAGTATAAAAGAACAATACATTCCTCAATTGTTCTGAAGTAAAATAATAGAATAAAGAAAGTGAAAGGTGAAATATGGATTACAAATAGAATCTAAATCAGATATTTTAAAGAAGAAATCACAATAATGAAAAATGAATCAGCACAGGATGCATAGGATGGAGTATCGTTCCCAAACATCACAGTCTCTGATAAAGTGAATCCTATCCTTAATGACTGAAATGGAAGAAAATGAAATCTGACCAGCCTCTCCTATTATGGCCCATCAGTGGGCCCCGTAACTCATTCTGGAATTGTGTTTAGATCATTTATTTCTCATAAGGAAACTGGCTACATTTTCCTGATGGATTAGGTGAAACAAAATCCAAGTTAATTAAATATTGCTTTTTTAGGCGATAAAAGAACCCTCCTTTCCCCATCATTGTTGTTGTTCAGTCATTTCAGTCATGTCCAACACTTAGTAAACCCATTAGAGCTTTTCTTGGCAAAGATACTGCAGCAGTTTGCTATTTCCTTCTCCAGTTCATTTTACAGATGAAGAAACTGAGGCAAAAAAGTTAAGTGAGTTGAGGCCATATTTGAACTCATAAAGACAAGTGTCACTGATTCCAAGTCCACTGCTGTATCCACTACACTACGTAGCCTGTCCTTGTCCACCATACGCACTCTTGTTACTTAGTAATTAATTATGTAATTAAGGACCATATGCTGAAGACAAATGAAAACAGTCACAAAGCAAAGGTATGAGCTCTTTTGGGTATGACACACCCCCAGAGTGACCTCAAACCCCTAATGTCATAGCAGATAAGGCTCCTTCACTTGGCTGGGAACCGTCTCATACCAAACAGGGCAGTCCAGGTTCTGATGAATATCTTTCTAGAATCTTCTTCATGTTTTCATCTAGATAAGACTTTATTTCCGCCATTCAGGAAGCTAACTAGATATTTTCTTTAACTTTATTATCTTTTCAGTGATTATATTAAATGTTTTCCCCCCAGAATTCAGTGTGCCTGCCAGACTTTTCTTTAGACTTCCATCACTTCTGATAAGAAATTTCACAATGCCCTCTCTCTGTCTCTCTCTTTTTCTCCTCCACAGATGCACCTACCTCACAGACAGAACACACACTTCCTCCCTGATTCCACAGGGAGATACGTCCCACAATGAGACATTTCTCAGCTTTATTCCAAATGATGATACAAAATGCTGCTCACAAAATTCCATGCGGCTCTTCCCGACTCTGGTTTCAAGAGGTGACTCTGACCTTTGGGCAAATCCCTTCTGTGAACTTCAAGTTTCCTCTTGTAAATTGATGAGGATCAGACTATTTAACTCTGCAGTGTCTTTTTTAAATTTTTTAAAAACTTATTCTATTTTATTTTTGTAGGCAATTGAGTTTAAGTGAGTTGCCCAGGGTCACACAGCTAGTCACTGTTAAGTGTTTGGTCTGAGGCCGGATTTGAACTCAGGTCCTCCTGACTTCAGGGCCAGTGCTCTATCCACTGTGCCACCTAGCTGCTCCTTGTAGTGTCTTTCAACCCCATGTCCTGTGACTTTTGGTGATTTAGGAGTTGGTAACCTTCAAGGAAGTGGCTGTGGACTTCACTCAAGAGGAGTAGGGCCTCTTGGACCATCCTCAGAAGGAGTAGTACAAGGAGGTCATGGTGGACAATGCCTGGCCCCTGCTCTCCCTGGGCAAGGACGTGTCCCCCTGGTAACTGAGTCTGCAATCAGAAAGACCATCTTCATTCCCTAGTGTGCAGAGTTTGGAGCATCTATCAATTATTAGATTGTTAGAGAGAGAAAAGTGCTGGTCTCCTGTGTCCAAGAGATGGGCTCCCCATGCTCCCTGGTTTTCGTCTAGGAAGTCTTTGCATTTTGTGATAGGGACCTGAGTGTTTCCTCTGTTACTCTTGAGCTGTCTCTTACCAATCCCTGGTAGCTTCAGGTCAGAGATCCAGTCAGTGTGGAAGCATCTGAGGTGTGGATCTAATCTCAGAGGTTAAAAGTCTAACCTCTACCTGGGCGTGAATTCTCCTGCCAGATCTCTGAGCTGCTCAGGCAGCTTTTCCTCCCAGCCCCGTCCTCTTTGGGATGGGCCAAGGATTGGGAATCTTCTTCCTTTGAACAAGCCTACACTGGTAGCTCATAGCTCTTCAGTGTGTCTGGTGTAGCAGGCTTGTGCTTCATTTTCCTTCCTGTTACCCCAAATTCCCAGGATGGGTGGTGGGAAAGGAAGGGAAGGGAATGAGCATCTATATTCACCTGCTGTTTGCCATGGTCTCTGCCAAGGGCTTTCTTTACAGTATTATGTCCCTTCATCCTCATCATAACCTTCCAGGTTAGGTGATATTATTATCCCCATTTTAGAGTTGGGAAACTGAGGCAGCCAGAGGGTAAGTGGCTGGTCCAGGGGCACACAGTTGGTCACTGTCTGAGGCTGGATTTAAATTCAGGCGATCCTGACTGCAGGCCCAGGGCTCTCCCCACTGCACCATCGGCTGCCTTTGATTTCTAGAGAATGGAGAGTATGCAATGAGTCCATCCTTCTGTGAAGAAGGTACAAGAGATTAAATTCTCTGGCACCAAACTGGTGCCATGATTTTCTCCCCCACCTCTCCCCAGAAGCCCCCAAAATTAATTCTGTGGAAGCTCTCCTCCAGGAGTCCTGGGAACCACCCTGGTCTCCTTGTTTGCGTGCCCCTGTGGGTGCCAGGAATAACAGGCTGGCTGAGAAAGAGAGTTTGGACTGACTAGGGTTTGTTGAGTTTGCCACCAGGCGCCTCTCCCCTGAAGAGGCAAATGTCCCCTGAATGAACAGTATTCAAGGTTTATAAAGGATTCGTGGAGTGAGGAGCCAGGGAGGGGGCCAGGGCAAAAGCTGACTCTTCAAGGTCCCTCTAGCTGGGGCTTACGGCTGATTGGCACAGTTTTTTACCCTGTTTGGAGACGAGGAGTTTGTCCCAGAGTGGAGCATAACAGGATGGGGGGGGGCGAGGGTGTGGCTGTTTCTCAGAGTCCTGTTTCGGGTTACTTGCATCACAGGCACTGGTGGGTCAGTATATCTCCTATGTGTGACCAGAATGGAGTGATTCTCAAAATGGAGCAGATGTATGTCCATACTCCTTTCCCTAAAGAGAACTAAATTACAAGTTTCTCTCCATGCGCATCCCTAACTGATTCCCCATGTCCATGCCTCCAGTTCCCAGAGAAGATGTGGTCTCCTATTTTGAGGAAAGGGAAGCACCATGGCTGCTGGAGAAAGAAGGCTGAGGAGCCGCTGTCCAGGTGAGGTGAAAGCAGGTATGTGAGAGCTGTGATGACGAGAGGCTGCTGTGTGTTGTGGTGAAGCAAGGGCTGGATTTGGGGGCAGGAAGACCTGCCTTGCAATTCTTTTTTCAGATATTTTTGAGCATTGTCATCCTGGGCCAGTCACTGAACCATGGAGCTTCAGTTTCTCCATCTGTAAAATGAGGGGGTTGGACTCCATGCCCTTCTAGGGATCGATCTGTGATCCTAAAAGAAGTCATTGATTGGAATTTGGGGACCTGGCATCCTAGAAGTGCAAAAAGGGACCAAGCAATCTGATATGGGGTCTTTCTTAGGCCTTCTTCAAGCGAGATCCAGAGATTTGGGTTTGTATGCACACAGAGTAAGTCAGAACTGCTCAGTGAAGCCCATGGGATTCCCCCCCCCCCCCCCCCCCCCCCCCCCCCGCCACGGAGCCTGGGGCAGTCCTTGGCAATAGCCTGCAGCTCTCAGAGCTGCCAGGACTTGAAACCAGGTCCTGAACAAGCCTCTCCTCAGGGTCTTCTCCCAGGAGAACTTTGGCTTGCTCTTTGAAAGGGATCACGGAAGCTGGGGAGCTGGGGAGTCTTTTGGCAAAGGTGGGTATATTTTAGGTAGGTGGGTAGTTTGGGGGTTGTTAAAGAGATTTTCAAATGATTTAATCCTTTCTTTCACTGATTCTAATTCAGACCTGTGCTCTCTTGCTTTGCCTCTGAGTACCGTTTATCATAGCTGTCCCACTCAAGAGGCTGAGTTTCCTCACTCATGAGTTTCTGCCTTAAATACTCTGATCTCATCTTATCAAAGCCTCCCCAACCAGGCTGGCAAAGTTGAGGGTCATCACGAGTCAAATCAACCCAATCCTGGCCACAGGAAGGACAGTCAAGGCTGTGTCTCTTCTACATTTGAATGCACATGTTTGTGGGGGTTTGCTAACAGGAACTGCTGTATCTTCCCCCACGCCTTTACAACACATCTGTCCCACTTTAAAACTGTACATTCAAAGATGATAAAACCGCTCAACTAACAAGGATACACAACACACAAATATCCTATGAGGCAATATGACAGCACAGATGCACAAAACTCAGATACACAATTACAAGTATTTCATGCTGTGCTTGAATTACAGAAGTAACCGCTGCGCGGCTCTAACCAAGCGCCCTATTAAGATGCTAATTTCAACAGGTTTAACTGCATATAAAACCAACCTCGCAAGCAACTCTTGTGATTCCCAACAGTCTCAAGCTTGCTAAAGTCGATGCCGTTTCTCATTCTTCCTGACCCCTCGGCAGGCTTTGGCACTGTCAGTCACCCCCTTTTCTTCAAACTTTCCTCTTCAAGCTTTAGTGACACTGCTCTCTCCTGGTCCTTCTTTTACCAGATGCGAAATGAAACTCATTCTCTTTGGCCCAACCCTCCATCTCCCTGCATTCCCAGTGCTGTCCGTGGCATCCTCCCATCACTGTGTGCCTTCTCAGAGAATCTAGGGGCCCCTCTCTAGGGGACCTGGCCAGAGGTTGGTCTCTGTTTCTAAACCTTCCCATCTCATATTTGGTGTCTTTAATAAACTGACTGGAAACAAAATGTATTTTAAAAGTGGTGTGTGTATTCAGCTGTGTGTGTTCATTGAGTCTAAGGGTGCCTCTGAGGATAATTTACAAGGGAGACCTTGGGCCTCCAGGTTCCTGTCCAGACAAGTAATAGATGATTTATTCCTTCATTTGTCCCTTCACTTGTTTCAGTTGGATCTGACTCTTCACGACCCCATTTGAGGTTTACTTGGCAAAGATACTGCAGTGGTTTGCTATCTCCTTCTCTGGCTCATGTTACAGATCAGGAAACTGAGGCAAGCAGTGTTAATTGGACTTGTTCAGGGTCACACAGCTAGTAATTGTCTGAGGTCAGATTTGAACTAAGGAAGATGGGTCTTCCTGATTATGGGCCTAGCTCTCTCTATCCTCTGCTCTACTAGCTGCCCAATTTGTCTGAGCAAGCATTTCATATCATTCCTTGAAATTTTTGCCTTAAAATTTGAGGCCAAAACGTCTATTGTAGCCCTCTAGGTTTGAACACTATTTGGGATAGGGGATAGGCCCTGAACCTCTGATTTCATTGGCATTGGGAGCTTTCCAGTGAGGAAATTCCCTCTACCAATGCAGATTGGTGTGTTTCTCTTAGCTGGATAAAGACTCTTCCCTACTCACCACTGGCTGCTTCCCCACTGTCTACAAACACATTCGTGTGTCTTCCACCTTCAAAAACCCTACCCCCTCTCTCTTCTGCCCTTTGTAGCTAAATGCCTGGGAAAGACTGTCTACACTCGATTCCTGACTGCCAGCTTCCCTGGCCTTTTCTCAGTCCTTATCCTTCCTGGCCTTTGAGTGGGTGGGTGACCACCCTCGTATCTGTCTCCGCGGCTCTTCTCTCCAGTTCTCATGACCCCATTCTCTCCTAATTCTCCCCCTCCTCATCTGACCACTGCTTCTCAGCTTCCTTTGCTGAATCTTCACCCTGGTTCCTCCTGCTCACGGTGTGTGTGCCCCCCAAGGCGCTGTCCTCACTGCCTTTTCTCCTTTCTCTGTGCTATGATCCCATCAATTACCAGATGTTTAGTTCTCATCTGTACAAAGGTGGCTCTGTTTGTCAGTTCCACCCTCCCCCTGACTTCCAGGCTCACATCTACAACTTCCTGATGGACGTCTCCAATTGGTCATCCGTCCCCTTGACGTTTTCAGCTCCATAAGCTCAGTTTGGGATGTGGTCTTTTCCCTGGCCCATCCCCTGGAGGGCACCACCCTCCTCCCAGCTCTATGGCTCACAGCTTGGGGGTCCTCCATAACTCCTCTCTCCTCCTTCCCCTCCCCATCTAAGCTGTGGCTAAGCCCTGTCCATCGGACCTTCATAATATCTCCTTTCAGACGCCCCCTTCTCTCCTCCGACCCTGCCACCCCCTGGGGCAAACCCTCATCACCTCCCACCTTGACCATGGCAGTGCTGCTGAGGGGTCTGCCTGCCTCCAGTCTCTCCCCACTCCAGGTAATCACTGCCCAGACACCAAACTGATCTTTCAAAAGCTCAGGTCTGGCTCTGTCACCACCCTGTTCAGTCAACTCCAGTGACTCCCTATTACTATCAGGATATATTATCAAATAATATTAATGATGACAACTATTAATGTGGCACCTACTATGTGCAGACCCTACGCTAAGTGCTCTACAAGTATTGTCTCATTTCATCCTCACAACATCCCCAGGAGGTAGTTACTATTATTCTCCCCATTTTACAGATGAGGAAACTGAGGCAAACAGAGGTTATGTGACTTGCCCAGGATCACATGGCCAGTGAGGGTCAGAGGCTGGATTTGAATTCTGGATTTCGTGACTCCAGGCTCGGCAGAAGGCTCTCTTGGGCTTTTTAAGCCCTTTCTCTCCTTGCCCTTTCCTGCCTGTCCAGCCCTGTCCCCATATTCTCTGATGCAGTGACAATGGCCTCCTTGCCCTTCCCTATCTCTACGGCCCCTTCCACCTCTAAATCTATGCGTCTGTGACCACCACTTCAGTTTCTTCTTCTGTATAGAGAGTTAGGGGTTGGCCTCACTGGTCTCTCAGGTTCCTCCCAGGTCTAAGTCTATGGTCCTGTGACTTCCTGGCCTCAGTTTCCCACTTTGTAAAATGAGGGAGTTGGCCTTGGTTACCTCTCACGGCCCTTCCAGCTCAATGTCTCTGACCCTCTGACCCCCCCTGGGCCCCAGCTGTGGTCTGGGAGATCTACAGGGACCTGTCTTAACAGCGATGATGCTTCTGGACTGTGATCAGTGGGAATTCGCCCAGTCGGGGGGAATGAGATCCCAGGAAGGCTTCCTGTTGGTTTAGATAGACAGGCTCGGGGGCACAGAAGTCTTGTTCCTAAGGGGCTGCAGCCCCGGGGGGTGCTGCTAGGCCCTTGGAGCTGCCTAGGGAAAAGGAGGTGCTCAGGGCCGAGTGGAGAACACGGGTCATCCGCCTTCATGACCCATGAGCCATCGTCCCCAATGGAAGCCAACGGGAGAGGTCAAGGCGCTCCGCCTCATGTCACCTCCTAGCATCAAACCCAGGTCTGGCCTGACCTCTGCCTTCTCCACCCCAAGGCCTGGGATCTGGGTATGTACCTCAGGTCACTCCGGCACACATAGGTGAGCTTGGACCTCCCAGCCCACAGGGCCCCACCAGGTGTCGGGCCAGGAGTACGTTTACCCTTACCCCAATCACAGGGGCCTGCCTTCACCCCACACGTCCGGTCAGCTGCCACCCCTGGGCCTTCCTTCCCCCTCTTGTCTCCCCCCTTGCCCAGACACCAGACTGGAGCAGGCCCTCCACTGCTCACACAGATGATCGCTGCGGCCTCCACCTGGGTTGCCCCCACCCCCCAGTTCATCCTCCATACTGCTGCCAAATGGATTTTTTCCTAAAACATAGGAAGTGCTCAGTAAACTCCAAGTGTTCACTGTCACCTCTAGAATCAAACGTAAATCCTGTTTGGCTTTTCAAGGCCTTATCTGACGCTCTCCCACCTTTCCAGGCTGCTTTTGCCTTGTTGCTCATCTACTCTCATCCAATGACATTGGGCACCTTGCTGCTTCATGTGCAAGATAGACTGTTTCCCCACTAGAGCCTTTGCCTTCACTGTGCCTATCGTGGGGATGCTCTCCCTCCCTAGCCCTGTCACCTGCCTGCCCTGACTGTGCCCATCCCGGGGATGCTCTCCCTCTCCAGCCCTGGCATCTGCCTGCCTTGGCTTCCTTCAAGTACCACCTGCCACAAGAAGCCTTTCCTGCCCCTCCTCAAGGGGCTTCTATTTTTTTCCTATATAGTCTGTATAGGACAGAGATTAGGACTGGACCTGTGAGGTTCCTGGCATATGGACGAAACAGAAAACCAGTAAGAATTAGACTTGCCAGCTAGGTGGTATAATGGAGTTAGAAAGAGCTGAGTTGGAGTCCTACCTTGGCCACTAACTGGTTGTACAACCCCAGGCTAGTCTATCTATCACTCCCATCTTCAGTCTCTATAAAATGTGGATAAGCATGGTGCCCACCTACAAAGGTGACTGTGGGGATCAAATGGCCTGATTGTCAAAGCGTATTATAACCTTGAAAGAGCCAGACTGATGTCGGCTGTGCCCTTTGACTGAAAATCACATCTTGATGTTCAAACAGAATGGAGACGTCTAACTTTTCGAATCAACGTCATCTTTGACTGATGATATCCATCATAGGATTGTAATATTAGTTGAAAGGAACCTTAGAGATGAGCAGATCCAAGTACCTCCTTTTATAGGTCAGGGAACTAAGCCCCAGGTGGTTTTTCCGTCTTGCTCACAGTTAACACAGGGAGAAAACAGCAAGCCCAGTCCTGGAAGCTGGGTCTTCTGGTGCCCAGCTTAAGAACAAGATGGATCGATAGTGATGGGGTGCTTGGCTGCTTGTCCTGGGACCCCAATTCCAAGACCCTAGTTCTGCCTAGCCTCAGAAATGCTGTCCCTGGCGGTTTCCCCCAGCCCAGGGACACTGTGCCTAGAAGTTATGCAGGAGTGGGCCCCAGCGGCACCCTTCTCTCTGTCCCTGGTGCAGTGACAAAACCTCACCTGTAGGAAGCATTAGTTTGAACTGGCTTTGTACTGGCACTGGAAGATATTCTTACCCACTGGGCTGTCTGTGCCAACTCCCAACCTCATTATCTACATTCTGGACTCCTCATTACATGTATTCTAGACATATGTACGTACATTCCCTACATATGTCTTGTGAAATAAGACATGGGCGGCAGACTGGACAACTCTCAGTGGGCCCTGACCACTAGTCAACTTAGTGAGGTAGCAGACCTAAAAACCACACCTCTCTGCGGCCCCCACCCTTGGGCGTCTCCTGGTGAATTCCAGGTAAAACATGTGCGCAGTAGACCCAAAAAGTGCGTGTTCCTTTAAGAACTGACCACTCCTTAACCACCCCCTAATCCCTCCCCAGATCACCTAGCTAGCATAGTTGGCACAAATTTTACTGTAGTCTAGCCAATATAAACTTTAACCGAACCCCTCTAAGGTCGCAGGTTCCTTAAGAACTTTTGCCCACTGAGAAGTGTAACAGTAAATCTTTGCCAACTTGACTTAAAACATGCCCATGTTAATTCCAGACGACCTTGTCCTGTACTCTGGTCCTTGAGGGGTCTCTGAACCTCTCAGACCACAACAATAGTGAGTTGTGGTTGAAGATGAAGTTTGGTATTCTTTTTTTTTTTTTTTGGTGGCAGTTGGAGTTAAGTAACTTGCCCAGGGTCACTCAGCTAGTGAGTGTTATGTGTCTGAGGCCAGATTTGAACTCGGGTCCTCCTGACTCCAGGGCCGGTGCTCTGTTCACTGCACCACCTAGCTGCCCCTGGGATTCTTGATCACAGAAATGAAACCCTTGGGGGATGGCCAGATCAAAGGTGTGGCCACCTTGGTGTGTGGCCAAGGTGGAGTGGAGGAGTGGACCACAGGACAGACTCCTGGACCAGGAGGCCA